AATTATGGAGCTAAAACTGCAAAATGAACCTGCCAAGGAAATTGTGAGCAGTCAAAGTTGGCTGGAAGTAAGCGTTACGTATTAACCGTGCTGCCTCCGGCTTTCAAAGTCGCCGTGGAGTAGTGGTAGTGCTCTCGAAATTTGCATTCCAACGGGAAGAGAACTTATGACCTCCGGGTGAAGAGCGAGGGCACTACCACTACTCCGCGGCGACTCTGAAAGCCCGGAGGCACGGTTCATATGTAACGCTTTACTTCCAGCCAACTTTGACTGCTCACAACTTCCTTGGCAGGTTCATTTTGCAGTTTTAGTTTCCATATTTGTAATCAGCGTTTGAAGCTCAATAGAAATTTCATGGGAAGTTAAATGCCTTTCCTGGTTAGTCCCCAGCGGAGAAGTTTGCCGTGGTCGAGTCTGTTCAGTGCTCAGCCATCCAATAAATTTCTATTATTGGCAGCCTCTTAGCGTTAAATGCGAGTTTTCAGGCACTCACGACATCCATGCGCTAGTTCTTGGTCGAGCCATCACAGGGCTGCAAGCCTTTCAATAAAGAGCGTCATGTTGCATTAGCATTAGAGTGAATGCTAGCAGGCAGTCTAGTTTCAACACTACTCTCTTTGTTACAACTTCTGTTTTTGGTTTCGTTATTGTTGGTATACCTTATCCATTACCTACCACGATATCTACCTTGACAGATTGGGCCTTTCAACTCGGTGATTACCATGTGATGAGTCTTATTGTTCCATTGAAAGTAACAGAAATGAAAATTTTATTCAATTTTTGCATATTAACAACGAGCAGCTCTGACGCCGCTATAACCTACTCTGGGAAGTGAGAAAATTTCACAACGACTCTGTGAAGACGGTGAGAGTGGCTCTGGACAAGTCGACAAATAATGCGCGTAATTAAAAACTAAAAATTCGTAGACGACGATTGCGCCTGGCGTTCACCATTCCTGCTTGGGAGCTCGATTCAATAACTTTTGAAGCAAAATTATCAGCGAGCCATGCCCACAAAAAGTCCACATCTGCCGTCTGATTGGGCGTGTCTTATGGATTTGACGTGGCTGTCGTCGCTTGATCGAAGCCGTGTGGATAACATGCTGGAAACAGCTCATCCACACGACTTCTATCAAGTGCGGCAACGGTCAGGTCATATTCATAGGCACGCCTAATCAGACGGCGAAAGGTGGACTGTACTGAAAGAGGCGTTTCTCACATGTTGACATCAAAAGCTGTTCTCAACAATGGAATTTACCAGGACTTGGCGCTCTCTTTTCGCAGCCAACTGCTGTTACCGAAATACGTTTGCATCACCCATAGGGAACCAAGGTCCAAATTGTTCCTCGCAGTAAAAACTGGCATGCCGAAGCCACGCTGTCGTCATATCCATCACCAACTCGTCACCGTCCTCATCGGCATGAGCATATAAGAAAGAGTTCCTTACAAAAAAAAAACAATATGCAGAAATTGTCAACGTACACAAATTATGAAAACAGTGCACAAACATAATAACGACGATAATTAATGAGCATTATATCATCAACAGGTGCATGGCTGAAACAAGGAGATCGTATGGTGACATCCCGGAATTCTGAGGAGAGAGCATAAATGAAACAAAAAAAAATTAAAAAGCACTAAATATATTCCCAAACAACATCGTATATATTATTATATTGCTTTTGCAGGCATATTAAAACACATGAAAGACTAGGATGTTCGACAAGAAATAAAACACAACGGGAGCTACATTGGTGAGACAAACCGAGCTCACAGCTCGGCCATAACGTGGTGTCAAATATTATAATAATTGGGTTTATATGACTAGAACAAGTACGCGTACCTGAGAATTCTTTTTCATAAAAAGAGAAAGTGAAGCATACGGTACAACAGCGGCTTACAAAGATACGCACCGGGTAAGTTCAAGAGTTCTTTCATTCGATCTCGGAACCACTGACAATTAGCCTGAGATTGAATGGAAAGTTATTTACAGCAACCAGGCAGACTATTCCGGTTGGCCATGGGCAACTATGTAAAAGATCGCTCAATCAACACTGAGATTCCGATACCGCATTCGAGGTGCTCTGGAGGAGACCGGGAGAGTCGGAATCGGTTTCGCTTCCATCTGAAATGATTTTGTCGACTTCCCAACGATGATGATACGTCCATAAGAAATAAGGAAAGCTTGTAAAATGCTAAAAAAGTTTCATACAAAAAAACTGATAATGACATAGTAAACGTCATAGGAGAGAGAAGTATTCTTTGTTCCGGCGGCCATGGAAGTCCGCACTACAGACTCCACAACACAAGTGACGACAGCTCCAAAGTAAATCTGACAACTAGTAGTTTATAGTGATAGCTGATTGAAGTGATGATGTATTAGGTCGCAACGAAAGTAATGGCGGATTCGACCCTCAATTTCAAAAACTCGTATCTTTCTTTGAATTGAACTTTATTCCGAATAATAATTCCCACAAGCACCTACACCAGTCCGCCATCGGTCGACAAGGGAAACAAATGCCTCTCCTTCAAAATTCGGCAGGCTTCGAGTCGAAGAAGTGCCCATGTCCGCTTTCAACTGTTGAAAGTTGTCGTACTTTTTATCCTTTGAGAAGTGAGCCAGGGAAAGGAGCGGGTGGTAATCCGTAGGCGCAAGACCTGGCGAATATGGAGGATGGGGTAAAACCGCAGATCCAAGTTCCGCCAATGTGTCCTGGGTTACCCTTGCAACATGGGTCGCGCGTTGTCATGAAGAAGAAGGACTTCGTCCAGCTTCAGGGCGAAGTTTCGCGACTTCAGCTGCGAGCCTTCGTGGTTGTGAGCAGTACACCTCAGCGTCGACGGTGGTATTGTCTGGCATCTCGTAATGACGTGTTCCCCGAACACTCCACCAAACTGACAGAGGAACTTTCTTGGGATGAACCTCCTGCTTTGGAACAGGCTCTGGCTTCTGGTTCGCACCCATCCACTGTCTTCTCTGGTATGACATACGTAGAGCCCCACCTTTCATCTCCAGTAATTACATTATCCAGCCAGTCGAAACGGCAACTTCTTGCAAGAAAACCTCTGCACACCCCGATACCTCTTTTCTTGCAATGCT